AACTCTCCTTGGTTCCCAGCCAGTGGGAGCTGCAGAGCCAGCACTTGGGTGGGTGCAATACGCGGAGCTTCCCTGACTGTCCATGCACTTAGGGGCCACAGGGACCTGGCCACAGCTTCCGGGAGCTGCACAAAACCAGGGCAGAAAAGGAGCCTGCCTTAGCCTTATTTGATCTGAGGAAGTGGGTCTGGCCCACGAAAGCTCATCATCTAATAAACCATCTTGTTAGTCTTTAAAGTGCTACATAGTCCTGTATTTTGTTTCAGCTACACCCATTCATGGCTACATCTCTATCACTATTCTGCAGAGCCAATGTGAGAAATGCTGATCCAGATAATACTTAGCCCTTCCCTGAGTGTATGAAGCAACTAGATTAGCTCCAGATGTCCCTTCTGGCCCTAAGACCTATGTCATTGGAGTCCATAACACATCTCTCTCCTTACAGGAGGGGTCTCTGTGGGATACAGGCTCTTCTGCGAATCACGGAGACATCATGGTGAAAGAGTAAACAGATAATTTGTTCCTCTTTTCCATGTGTAAGTCTCAGAGGGGCCCCCATGTTAGTCTGTAACTTTAAAAAAATGAGTAGTTCTGTAGCACATTTGGGTTCCCTGTAGTGTAGAATAACTGATGCTATTTTGAAATAACAATGGGAGTGTCTACACAGCAATATTGTTGTTTCAAAATAATTTCAAAATAATGGATGGCTTATTCCAACTTTTGCAAACCTCATACCATGAGGAACAATGCCTATTCTGAAATAGCTATTTTGAAATAGCTGTATTGTGGATACTCCACTGCTGCTATTTTGAAATAGCTCCTCCCAAGACCATTCAAAGTAATTACTCCCCTGTGCTTCCTGGGGCTGTAAATGGAGATCCACATTAAAGAAGTCTTCCTTGGACTAATTTCAAGGGTTCCCTGTAGTGTAGATGCACTATTTTGAAATAAGCTATTTTGGAGTATTTCTTCCAGAACAACTTATTCTGAAATAAGTGTGCAGTGTAGACATACCCCCAGAGACTTACATAGATAGATAGATAGATAGATAGACAGTATCATGAGCTTTTGAAATGTGCAGGGTAGACATACCCTCAGAGACTAACATATATATGTTATAGATATATAATACCATGAACTTTCGTGGGCAAAATTCACTTCCTCAGATGAGCAGAGTGGAGAAAAAAAAGCATGTGGATCATATCAAGGCAGCAAGAATTATTTCCGGCAGTGTAAATTTAAAAAACAAAAACAAAACACACACTAGCAGAGGATGGTTTCGATCCATCGACCTCTGGGTTATGGGCCCAGCACGCTTCCGCTGCGCCACTCTGCTGCACGTTTTTTAGCCTCTGTTCTGATAGGTTCATAAGGCTTTTCTTTGTTCTGCTGCACATGTGACTTCTTCACTTGACAAAACTGCTGCTTTACACTTTCCTGAAAAGCCATTTTACATGCATTCTTTCAAATACAAAATAATGAACTGTTAACCGGTGTTTGCTTTGAGAATTCAGCAAAAACATCACACTCCCTTGATTTTCAAAATCATTTGACAAGATACAATCAGGTTGAAGCATCTGGCTTAAAATGAACATAGTTGTTATAGAAATAGCTGTTATATAATTGATTAGGACCCATTTAAAATGTGTTCTTCATCTCCTCTCCAAACCCGGCTGTCTTCTAACAGTGAAGTCTAAAACCCAGTCCGTCCTAAAAAGTTTGTGGACATATACAAATACTAGGCTCAATACCTCTCAGCTGGAGAGAGGTGAGCATTTTAGACATGCCCATATATTTTCCAAATCCCATTTTGTTCAGTGAAATGTAAACCCAGAAAGTCTACTAAACTGATTAGGGATGGATTTTATTTTTCCAGTGGGCCAATGAAAGATTTAAGACTGTGAATGGTTTGGGGCAAACCAGGGCTCTTTGGAATTTATATAAAGATGTGACCATTGTTAGCCAATGAAATCAGCAGTGTTTATACCACAGTCAGCTACTGGTGCATGGTCACTGGACATTTAGGATTGTATTTATTATCCTTTTTTCCCCCTGAAAAATTATATTGAAAAGCACAGAGGTCCTGGTTTTGCCCTCCCTTATTCTAACCGTACCTCCAACTCCTTGAAACCTTTGGCCAATCAATTTCCACCCTCTGACCACCAATGCTCCCTCTAATTTTTCCATCTATGTATAGAATATATTTTGTTTTGTGCACCAAGGCATATACAGATGTGCACCACTAGATAGAAACACATGCTGATGGCTGTGGGCCCTGTGCTATTCAGCTGGGTAGCATCTGAATCTCTCCTGGATGGCTGTACTAGTGCTCAGCTTACAGGGAATGCTGCTGGCCAGCCTCTTCTCCGATATGCCTCTTTTGCCCTTTTTAACATCAATAAAAAAGCAGAATCTGAGGCCAAGCAAGGGCAGAGTGAAGGGCAGAGGCTTCAGCAGATTGGACTGGTTATGCTCCCTTCACGTGAGCATGCTCAAAGCATCCTAAGTAGCAAATCAAGGCAGAAAGCAGTTTATACAAGGTGTCTCTGCTATAAGTCAGTGTATGTGATTCCTCACTAGCGTCGCTACCACTTGTGGGAAAGGATCCGTTTTAAGTCCTCCCATTCCCTGCTCTTCTGTCAAGCAAAAAAATAATTAAATAAATAGACCAATTTGCATAAATGGAAATCAAACCCAGGAAAAAAATTCCCCACTTTGCATCCTTTCACTATACATCCATGTTTTTTAACGTATCTTGGACATTAAGCGAGGACACCCCATACACAGTCCTATGTCTGAGAAACTGCTATCTATAGGATCCGCCATTAGCAGATATGTGTGGCTGCCCATAGCTTGCAATAAATTTAGTATGGGGTCATTCTGTGACAAGATGCTGACCAGAAATTGCTGAGCCAGCCCTCTGTCACTCCAGCTCCAATTACGGGAAGTAAACTGGAAATGACTAGCCACTGTGTGCCTTTAGACTTCACATTATTAGGGAAAGGGATACTTCACTATTTATTTGGCATAGCTTTCCTAGCGTATAACTGCATTCACTGATAAAACTATAGGAGAAATAAAATCTAAGCTAATATTGATTATTAAAAACTAAACTACTTTATTAAGTGCATAGAAATCATAACACAGGTTAAGGCCAATGAATGACATGCAGTGTGTGCAAACAGATGCAATATAAAACGGCACGTGGCTGCCAACAATTAATCTTCATAATGAATATGCAAATACACAAATAAATTATTTTCCATAATGAACATGCAAATGTTTCAGTGCCGGTCTGCCAATATTTTTTGAATGAGTTTGCTGGACCACAACATGGAAAATGTTGGGAACCGCTGCATTCAATGAAAAATCAAATCAAAGTATAACCTAAAAATAAACTCCAAGAAAGATGCAATAAATTACATCTGAAGCCACGTCTACAATAGGGATACAGCTGTACCACTGTAAGATTGTTCCTATAGTTGCTCTATACTGTCTACTCCAGTGCTTCTGTTGGTGTAACTCATATCACAGAGAGGGACCTGGTGTTTTTTTCACTCCCCAGAGTCACCTAAGTTATACTGACCAAAGTGCTGGTGTAAGACAGAGCTTGTGAATTGTTGCCTAGGGAGATGGTAGCATTTCCCTCCTTATAGGTTTTTAAGGCCTGGCTTTCCAAAGCCCTGGCTGGGATGATTTAGTTGGGGTTGGGCTTTGAGCAGGGGGTCGGACAAATTGGCCTCCTGAGGTCTCTTCCAGCCTTCATATTCTGTGATTCTAAGTACATTTTAAAAAGTCAATTAGATGCAAATATTAGCAGGAAAACACTTTCAGACATCAGTTTTCAGGTTTGAATGTATTTTGGGTTTACAAGCAGTATTCACTTTGTCAAACAGAACTATTGTAGGGATATAGATAAACAGTTTCAAGCCTTTTGTGGCTTGTGAAATATTAGTTTTAGAGTTGGAAAGAAAATACTAGGTAGTACACAGGCACTCTGAATCATACCATAACTGACACTCTCCCCCTCCTGCCCACGTGCATTAAGCAAAAGAAACTTGAACACGAGCACTGTGAAATCCCCGTTGAAAGTCACTGTACACAGCAGCCCACGTTTAAAACAACACAGGTGCGCACAGTGCAGAGCTACCCTGTCAGCAGTGGGGAAAGTCACAGGTTCTTCCCTGGACAGCCTTTAAGTTTGGGGTGATTCAGTTAAGGCAGGAAAGCGCCCCCCGCTCCTTCCGCCCCCTCCCCAGCTCTCTGCCAGCCTCGCCCCCCACTGACCAGCCTACTTCTTCCTCCACGTGAGCTGCTGGGGGGGCTGAGGGAAGGTGTCTGCAAGTAGCCCCCACCCCTCATGGCATTCCGGCCTGATCCTGGGCGGGTACGTGGGATCGCTGGGCTCCATCCTGCGCCACCCCATCTTTGCACCCCTGCTAGCCGTGCGCTTGGGGCAGCTGCACCCCCCCGCACCACTACGAGCACCAGTACTGGTTACACGCGCTGCCAATGGGCAGCCCCAGCTGGTGGGGCCTGGCCAGCACCTGCAAAGCAGCCGCAGCCCCCACGGGCTGGCTGGCTCCCCCC